TTTAATCTCCTAATATTAACTTGTTTCCTTTTGATTTTTATTATGTTTATTTCATAAAAAATAAATTATTACTTTATTCATATTTATCTCAGCATAAAAGTCAAATGTTAGAATTTAAAAAAAAATGTTAGAATTCAAAAAGTTATAATTTAATAAATTAATTAATTTTGCTTATTTTATTTATTTTCATAATATTTCAATATTCTTTTAATATGAAATCTTATTCCGATATTACATCACGGCTTGTTTCTCTTTGCATGAAATTTATATATTAGAATTCTAATAGTTTATAACTCAATCAATAAAGTTATATATATTGATATGTTTATTTAGTTGGCAGGATCATGGTCGGTAGGCGACGGAGGTTGGAAGGTTCATAATTGGTGGGAGACAGGGGTCAAAAAGACCATTATCTAGCGGTGGAGGTTGGAAGGACCCTAGTAGGCAACGAAGTCATAATGACCATAATCGACAAGAGACAATGGTAAAAAAGATCGTTGCCTGTCGATTGAGGTCGGAAGGACCGTAGTAGGCGACGAAGGTCAGAAGGAGTGTAGTCAATATGAGACAAGGGTCAAAAAGATTATTATCTTGCGGTGGAGGTCAGAAGTATCATAGTTAGTAGGAGACAGGTGTCAGAAAAAATGTTGTTTATCGATTGAGGTCGGAAGGACCGTAGTAGGCGACAGAGGTTGGAAGGACCATAGTAGGCGACGGAGGTCGGAAGGATTGTAGTTGGCATGAGACATGGGTTAGAAAGACCATTGTTATAAGATAGTGGTCTGACGAGAGCCGAGCATAAAGTGGTGGTACGGTGGAACTCAGGGCTTCAGATGGTGGTATGGTGGAACTCCGAGTGTCAAGTGGGGGTTTTGGGGAATTACAGGCGTCAGGTAGTGACCCGGTGGAGCTCCGGGCATCAGGTGGTGGTCCAACGGAATTCTGGTGTCAGGTGGTGGTTCGACAAAGCTCCGGGCATCAGGTGGTGGCCCGGTGGAACTTCGGGTGTCAGGTGGTGGTCCGACGGAACTCCATGGCCAGGTGGTGGTCCGGTGGAACTCCGAGCGTCAGGTGGATGTTTGGCGAAACTCCGAGGTCATGTGGTGGTCCGACGAAACTTTGAACGATGTTTAAGGAGCGAGGAGGCAAGAGTGATTTACGATTTCTCTCTTGCTATCTTACTTGGGGGCCCCTTTTCAAGAGGAATGAGGCTCTATTTATAGATTTTCTAGAGTGACGTGACTTGTAAATATGATAAAGATCAAGGCAAATGGGGAGTGATTTGGATAGATGACTGATATCGAATTCCTTGGTTGTGGATCGTTCACTAAACATTTAAAAGTTTTATATATATATATATATATATATATATATATCAAAAGATGAGAACTATTCGCTTGTATGCATATAAAAAATATATATGGATAATTGATGCTCCAGAGCCACAAATTCTACTACTAAAAAATATGTTGGATATAACTCTACAAGCTAAATTAATTTTCTCTTTTCATAAGCAGAAAATGAGTTATTTTGATTTAGATATGAAACACAAAGAAGTAACTCATTACTAGATTTAAAAAATACATTACCTAGTTCTTGGAGTTGCATATAAATAATAGTGTAAATGAAATCCATACAATAATGATGCAAATTTGTTATTTCTTTATTTTTGCGTCCTGATCTTTGGTGAGCCTTGAATGTAGAATTTATTGCAAGAACATCAACTTTAAAAACATTGCAAAAGCGTAAAACTTCATTTAACAAAGAAGCACATCTATTCTCCCTCAGTATCTGTAATGTTGTTTAGAGATTTGCACTAATTTCATTGTATTTATAATATCTTGATTATTTCTTTGCAAGGCTTGTAATGATTCATTTGTAACATCTAAAATATAAATAATTAAGTGCATAGCAAGGATAAAATCAAAAGATTCTATAGTATCTATCAGAACACCAACTTCAATTGATTGTTGATTATGAACCCCATCTTCTTTAATAATTTCAAGCACTTCAATCTTCGAAGCATACTTTTTCATTAAATTAATTAATGTATGAAAATGGGAATCCCAACGGGTGTAACCAACTCACTGCAAACTTGTCTTTTGATTCAAGCCTCTACCACTACTTAACTCCCCCTTATTCAGATGTAACATTATTTTGTCATGTTAGATGACTTTAATAATATTTGTCTTCTTACTTGAAGCTCCCACAATTTTGATAATTTTTGAAGTGATCTCAAATAGATGATTCACTTTCTAATAATTTTTTTGTTACAGCCACCAAACACAGTTAGAGCTGATGAGCAAATCAACGAATATAAAATACTTGAGGGTTATCATAAGATATTAGTGCTTGCAGACCATGAAACTCCCCTAGCATATTAGATGTCTCATCATATCCTTAACCACGAATCCAATGTATACTTAATAAAATCAAGTAGCTCTAAATAATTTCCTCGATTATTTAACTCATATAATTAATCATGGCCACAAAATGATAATCCTTGATGTAAGAGATTGTACACAATCAACTGCTGCAATCAACATGATCATGTAATCTTTTTGTTCTTCTCATCTTTACATAATCATAAAGTAGGAAGATTATGTTCTTAAATTTTCATTAAATTTTAATATTTGTGTCTGATTTTGTTATGTATACTATTATGCTCTCCAACAAGACTTTATAGTTTTTCTTTTTTCTTCCAATTTATGAACCCTTCCTCAAAAATATGAGTCTCCACCAGCTTAGCCTTTAATAATTTATGCCTGGGGTTTGAATAGATAGAAGTAAAAAAAAAACAACAACAACATCTTTCTATATGATATACTCTAGCCAATCAGGATATTTGTCAAACTATTTTAGATTAAATATATGAGCAATTTTTATAATTAATATCTGGGGAACTTCTTGGTTGATGAGGCCCCTTCAAAAGATAAGCTCTTCGAATTTTATCACTATCATTGACATCGTAAGTCCAAATTATAGGTCGAAGTCCTGAATCAACTCAGAGATTGATAATATCAATATCTACTCATTCATCAATTATATACTAGAAACAAATTTAGAATTGCATATTGGTTAATGAACCATTACTTGTTGAGGTTAATGCCTTTCTTATTTTATAAAATTTATAAAAAGTCCATTGTTTCAATTGGATGGTGATTTTCTCAATGAAAAAGTGTAAGAAATGTCATTTGTTGAATATGGAAGTCAATGAGACCTATGTTATGAATCTTATTTCTTTAAAAATTTGGCATTTCACTATCAAACTTCCACCTATAAATATAAAATATGTGACTAAGTAACAATGTCAAGAAATTATTAATCCTCAACTCCCATAGATGCTGTGATCTACAATAATGCAATGAATAATGTTAATCTAATAGATACAAAGAAATATTTTTTTTTTCTTCAAAATGCATTTAACATTTATTTGAAAAAAAGAAACATAACTTTTAAAAACAATCACTAAAAATGGTCATGAAAACGAGTAAGATGAAGATTAGACCTGTCAAAAACGGGTCACGGATCGGGTTCGGGTCCAACCCGAAATTGACCCAACACTGTTCAACCCAACCCGACCCGACCCGTTTTTGCAAACGGGTCGGTTTTCCGAACCCGAACCCGACCCGCTTCGGGTCCGGGTCAACCCGACCCGACCCGCTTCGGGTATATTTAATTAAATTTTTTTTATTTAATTCATTTTATTTAAATTTAAATCAAATTAAGGGTAGATTTAGGGGGGGGGGGGGTATATTGTCCCCCTTGCATGTTACATGGTTCCGCCCTTGAATGAAACCAATAACATTTATCAGTACGCTAATAAAACTTTTATTATTACACATGGATAGTTTAATTTATAATTAAATGCACGTTGATATAATTACAAGTTGAGACACTTTTATTAATATTTAAAAGACACATATTATATATACATGTAAAATTAAGAAATTATTTTCTTATCAAATTCAAATCAATTGAAAACTTGAAATGGATTTGTATTCACATCAAATAGAGCCAATGACAATTTATAATAAAAAAATAACTTAATTCAAATTTATTTAAATAAAAACTTTTTATTTTTTATTCACATCTAGTAGAGCTAATCACAACTAAAGTTATTTATAAGTGATAGATATATAATATTATAATTTTAAATATTAGATATCTAAATAACATGATATGAAGTGGTAGGTATGCAAATCTAATTTTTTTTTTCTTTCCATAAATTAATGCAGGCAATGTAAATCCAGCGTCCGATCCCTCGCGGCGCATCAAAACCCATGGGACCAACTCGCTGGGTTGTCAATATTGGACCCGACCCGAGCCCGACCCGAAAATTTCGGGTTTGGATTGACTCGAACTCGAAACGGGTCGGGTTTGGGTTAAACAAATTGATTCGTTTAAAAAATCGGGTCAGGTTCGGGTTGACTCGAAATCGACCCGTTTGTGACTCGAAATCGACCCGTTTGTGAAAAACTCGTTTTTGACCCAGCAACCCGAGATTGATTTTTTTTAATCCGATTTTGGCTCGAAAAAAGGAGATTGACCCGTTTTTAGACCAAAAAAATAGCAGATTTTTATTGGTCTAGGATCATTCGGGTCGGGTCGGGTTGACTCGGGCGAAACGGGTCGAGTTCGGGTTCAGAAAATCGATCCGTTTGCAAAAACTGGTCGGGTTGACCCGAACCCGACTAGTGCCGGGTCAGTCCGGGTTCAACCCGAGAACCCGAAATTTACACCCCTACCAACTCGCACTTGACTGTTCATGCGTGGAAAGTAACGAATCTTGACCTGAACCGGTGCACCCACATCAACGCCGCTCAGCCCGTTCCAGTGTTCCCAAACAACCACTTAAGACGATAAGCACGGCTCAGCCTAAATTTTCCAAGCTAGTGGCTGCCAAAAAAAAAAAAAAAAAAAAGGACTTTTTTATTTTTTAATAAATCGTTGAGGAAAATAAAAGATGTACCAAAATAAAATAAAAGGCAAAAAAACTATCGAAGTCGATCCGCCAAGCAACAGCAGCAAAATAATCCCGAAACAAAAGCAGAAGATCGGTATCCTGTTTGTCGTGACCTTGGCTTGTATCGTTATCTCTTCTCCTTCCTCGTCGAAGCGTTTGTGGCGTACAGAGTACTCAGTTTGTGTTCTGCAGTGGTTCCAATCTCAATGTAAGAACTAAGAAGATCGGTATAGATTTCACTTCTGTGTTTGCTACTTGTTTTGGTTTTTTTTTAGCAAGTCAGGATCTGGATTTTGAGCTCTTTGTTTGAATTTTACTGGGATTTCATGAGATTAGTTCGATCTTGCTAGTATATTTATGTATTGATTTACATATTGAAATCGCCCTTAGTTTAGCAAGAAAGTCAAAGCTGGGGCGTTGGTGTCACGATTATTGCCTTACGATTATCAGTTTGATTTGAGGCGCGGGTTTAATGGCTTTGGTAAAAAAGTTAATTATCACTTATCAGATCGATGGGAGATGATATTTTCCTGTTTAGTTTTGAAGGTTGATTTGATGGTGTTTTCTGGTAGAATTAGGGTTCTTGTAGTGGGAGCTAGTTAATTTGTTTGGTTTTGCATGATTTTATCTAGCTTGCTATTATTTTTTCAAGTAATTATCTTTTCTTGTGCTATTTTGATTGCAGAGTAACCATGAGTGACAATGGAGATAAGGCTTGCCCTCTTTGTGCTGAGGATATGGACCTCACTGACCAGCAATTGAAGCCTTGCAAATGTGGTTATGAGGTGTGCCGACACTGAAAAACCTTAATTTTCTACTCTACCTCCTCTTTGCATATGTTAGTTGCTGTTTTAATAGTATCGTGAACATGATTATTGACTTGTATTACAAGCATTCAACCTCCATTATATCTTCTTATAAAATTTTGGACTTTGATTGTGTGAGATATAATGACATTTAGATTGTGTGTGATACCGGAGTTTGGGGTTGAGACCCTAACAATCTACTTTGTCGTTCTTTTGTATAGATATGCGTTTGGTGCTGGCATCAAATAATGGACATGGCTGAGAAAGAAAACTCAGAAGGGCGTTGCCCTGCCTGCCGCACTTCATATAATAAAGAGAGGATTGTTGGAATGACGGTGAATTGTGAAAGGTTCACAGATTTTCTAACATTTTATTCTGTTAACTCCAAGAGATTAGTTTTGTGATATTTGGCAGGAAGTTTGCTTCTGCAGGTTGATGAATGGAAGTAACACAGAAAAAAAATACAAGACTCAAAAGACGAAGCTGAAGATGTCAGCAGATTCACGGAAGAATCTTAGTAGGGTGCGCGTGGTACAACGAAACCTTGTTTACATTATGGGATTACCTTCTCATTTAGCTGATGAGAATGTGAGTAAACTTGGATTACATTGCAAGCCACAACCAATTCACATCTTTTTTAAATTATATGGGTAAGGAGATCACATGAAGTTGTTTATTAAGAAAATATCTTATTTTACTGATAGGTACTGGAGCGTAAAGAATATTTTGGTCAGTATGGAAAAATATTAAAGCTGTCTATTTCTCGACCAGCAACAACAGCTCAGCAAGCTCCCAATAATTGTTTTAGTGTGTACGTCTTGTAATCATCTGTAGTATTTACCCATGAAGTTTATGATTTTACTTATGTTAGGAGGTTGACCTTGGAATTTTTTTGGTTTACCTGAAGTTCATTCATTTGCAATCATGAGCGACCTTTATCTTCCCTCCGATTTATTAGTTTCAGGTCTCAGACCAGGGAAACTCTAAACAGTTATTTATCGCTGTGATCTTGCCTATGCAGGTACATTACATATGCTAGAGAGGAGGATGCTGTTCGTTGTATTCAGTCTGTTCACAATTATACATTGGAAAGTAAATCCTTAAGGTAGGTCTGTTACTATTTTTTTTCTTCATGTATATGCATTCCTTCAGTTGGTTAGTAAAGTTTCACTGGTTCCAAACTTGTGCTGCAGAGCATGCTTTGGTACTACGAAGTATTGCCACTCTTGGTTGAGAAACATGGTATGTAAAGGAACTCTTTGATGGTGTGGTTCATCTATATACATATTTTACTCAATTTCATGTTGAATTTGTGGCTTAATTGATCCAGACTTGCAGCAATCCAGATTGTTTATATTTGCATGATATAGGTTGCCAAGATGACAGCTTCACTAAGGATGAGATTATTTCAGCTTATTCTAGGTATTGCTTCTAAATCACCCATAATGTGCTAATGTTATTTTTCAACAAAAAATATCCATTGGCTGATCTTCCAATGCTGCTATATATCAAGTGATATTTAAATTTCTACCACAACTTTCACATTTTACTTGATATTTCTTTGTCATCTTGTTATGTATCTCAGTTTAGAGGCAGCCTCGTGTTCTTGTATTTTTATATTTATTCAGTCACCAGGCACACACATCTGTTATCCTCTTTTTTATTTCTCACCTAACAATTGAGTTGAACAAGCTGTGAGATTTAGTTGGAAAGTAGGCATATGAAGAGTTGAGAACTGATAGTGAAAGAAGCATGATTTGGAGTCAAGCTTAGCCAGAGTTATAATTTTTTTCTTATTATGGGTGGGCAGGCAAGGGTTTTGCGGGGTTTATAGGGTGAAAGTAAAGGATCACGCACAACCTTATAGTCACAAATAGTTCCGCCTGGGTCATCTGTTGAACCTTTTTTTTTTCCTAAATGCAGTTTGCTTGCCAAATTGGGTTGTTGGGCACGAGAAATTTAGCTTTTTGGTCTTGGTCCATTAGTTTAACTGTTAGGTCGGTTAGGCTTTAAAAGCATGGCATCTTGAACACTAAACTTCTCTCCATTTCCTTTTCATCAATATTGAATATTTCTGGTACCAGTAGTTGCTGACGAACTTCCCTGCTTGTTGATATGAGGCGCTGCAGCCATTTCTTGCTTTAAAGGTGGTGATGTTTTCGGGCAATGTTGGCTGGTGAGGGCATATCAAGGAGGCCCAATATTGACATTGACTTGCTTGCATGCAAAGATGTTGCAACAAGTAGAGAGAAGGGAAATTGCATTCGGATGAATAATGTGCTAACATCCAAAATGGCACAATCATAAGGTAAATAAAGCTAAAGCTACTGCTCAACGGCCTGTCATCAACAAAAGAAATTAGGAAACTAAAACATATTAAGCTAATATAAATAAGGACATAATAAAAGGTTTTAACTACAGATTTGATGAGCTGAGGATGCTGATTTGGTGAGCCACACTACATCACGTCTCTCCTTTGGAAGAACTTGACTTGAGTTTGGTGAGCTGAATGGTGTTATTGTTGGGTGGTTAGCATGTGTAAATGTCGATGACATTGAAAGTGGTTGAGATACATAAATTTGTTGGTAGGTTGACAATATAAATGTTGTCATAGGAAATGGGTCCAATTTCTTGGGTTTGAGCATGGAGTAGTTGCCAACTGGAAGCCATTTCTAGATTAACCATCACCAGCTGCTAGCATCAAAATTTTTTTTGCATCAGTGTTGATCAACCCGCTCTTTGTAGTGTTGTGTCAAAGGTGTAAGTTTATCTTTTTTGACAATTTTAAGCATTATGGAAAAATCAGAGGGCACGGGTACAGCTGATTTATTTGGCTCCTTTGTAATGGCTGCAAGATCGACAATGTGATTTGGTGGCACTGTGAAAACTGTGCAGGTTTATCTTTGACAATTTTAAGCATTATAGAAAAATCAGATGGCATGGGTTTAGCTGATTTGTTTGGCTCCTTCAGAATGGCTGCAAGATCGACAATATGATTCGGTGGCACTGTGAAAACTGTGTTGAATGAACTCTACTAAATGGAAATGAAAACCACGAAGTTGTATGAGAATTTAGCTTGTACAAGAACTTCATCCCAATGCTTGGCTGATCTCTGGCCAAACAAGAAAGAATGTTGCCCAAAGTTCGGTGTACAACTTCAATTTTTTTTTTTAATTTTTTCTAAGGTTAGTACCTTAAACAAAGTTTTGTCTATAGCCTCGTCACAAGTCCTAGTAATAACTAACAAATTTCACGTCACAGGCGGAGATGAGATTTTTCCGCATGCCATGAAGACATGCTTTCCTGGAAAGAACAAGTGAGCAACATTCTTGGTGTCAAATGTCTTTCAATATGTTATAAAACGTGATATCTTGGAGAAATTATCCACTATGACCATAGCGTTGAAGAACTAATACAAAGTCTAGACTTCGGTCTTACGAAACTATGTATAGAATGGGTAGGTTGTACAAACTAATGTTTTGTGTTATTCCTTTGGCGAGATGATAGATGTGGCAGCTTTCAACAAATTGATAGACATCACAATGAATTTTTTGACCCAAATAAAAATAATTTATTGAAGCATAGCCAATATTTTGTCTTGACTTACATGCATTGTTGAGCTGCTCACATGCATCTTTTTATTAAATGGGCTTGAAGAGGCATATTTGGAGTGCAGAATTGGTCACCTTTGAAGACGATTCCTTTCTTAATTAAGGTGCATTCCTTGCATTTGTTTCATGGTTCATTGAAATCTTCATCACGTGGATGAAGTTCTTTGACTTGCACAAGCCCAGTAATCACAAAATGAATAGCATTGAGCGTATGCTTTTCCTTTGGCTTGGTCTGTTAGCTACCTCGTTTGTTGTGCCAGTTTTATGTCTCAAAACAAAGTTGAATATTTGAAGAAACATCAAATGCGCATTCAACTCATACTTCTTTGTAATAATTGATGGTCACGAAAAATGATGAAAGTAATGTTACCAGTGCTCAAGCGACAATATACAATTCTTATTTGTAAGTAGACCATTTTTGTTGTGCTGTACATAGTTTTTTGCTGAAGAATTCCTTTGGTTTTCCATCTTGGGATGGCATAGCCCCCATGCCAATTGTTGAAGCATCAACTTCCACTTGGAAAGGCTTGTTGAACTTAGGTGCAATGAGCATCAAGGGCGAGCATAACTTAGCCTTGATGGTTTCAAAACTCTGATGTTTTTCATTTTCTAAGCAAATTTCTTTCTTTTTAAATAACCTGTTATTGGCTCCTTGGTCGTGCTAAATCCACAGATGAATCAATAGTACAAATTAGCTTGTCTATGAAAACTTTATACGTATGGAGGCATCAACCACGATCTGATGATCTCCACCTTGATGGGATAAGCTTGGATGCCTTGCATGATGATAATGAATCTCAAAAAGTGCACATTGTTAGTGGAAAATTCACATTTATGGATGTCGATGAGTAGTTTATTATCACTGAGTGTTGTAAGGATCAATTTGAGGTGTTGTACATTATCTGATGTGTTATTGTACATAAATATGTGTACGAACCACATGACACAAAACAAAAGTGATCCTATAATGATTTTAAGACTTCATTCATCAACCACATAAATGTGCTTGAAGTATTGTATAAATTAAATTGCATATCTCACCACTTATAATGCCCTTCTGTAGGCTTGAAAGAAATTTTGCATCTATCACCCACTCGAATTCTTATCTGATGGCATCCACAGCTCAAATTCATCCCGTAAAAAATAGCAGGGAAAAAATTCTAGTTTATCAAGCAATCCTCCAATTTTGAATGAGAAACTGATTTGCTTTACTATCAATTCACATTCACCAATGATCATTTCTCTTAGGAATAAATAATGTCGAAATAGTAGTGCCCACTATGTTGAATGAATTGTTTCTGAAGGAGTTCATTCACCAGATCTTGCAAAAATTGGTGCTTTTATGTTCATTTTGTAGTTTGGTAGATTTGGGTGCATTGAGTCGACTATGAAGTCAATTTGGCGCTAGATAGAGTGAAGTGGCAGCAAGGTCTCGGGTAACTCTGGTGGCACAATGCTAGTGAACTGCTCAAGTTAAGGATATCACAATTTGTGGAGTAGCTATTGAAAGTGTATTCTTAGTTAATATAATGGCTGGAATCTTAGGTAACCCCCTATATGTAGCAAACAATTGATTGGCTAAAATGCATGAGGATATGAAATGCAAGTGGTCATTTTTTCTGCTGATTTGCTCTTATGGAATCGGGAGTAGGCAGCAGGCAGCAGTCATAATTTCTTTCTTTTTCAATTAATAACCTTAGCGTTTTCCTACAATCCACACGTCTGTATGAATTGTCATTAGCCTCCCCAAATTAAGATGACAAATATCGAATTTTCATTAGCCTCCCCAAATTGAGATGACCAACATCCTTGTTTTACACATCACAGAGCACCTAATAGAGGAAGTTTTTGCCTATTGAAAATGTTACTTTGCACATTTTCAAAATAAAGAACATATATGCATTTTTTAATCGAACTGATCTTATAAGGTCGTGTGTCCTCAATAATTGGAAATTGAAGAGTTTTGACGACATTGCCAAGGATAATGTTTTTGTACAACCATAGTCGCCTAACTACTAAAAAAATCTTCCTTTAATGTGTGTCATGTTCTAGCATGTCATTGTGATGGTAACCAATGCTTAGGAGCCAACAAGACTTTCTTCAAAATGCATGAAAAAAATTCTATCATCTCCCTGCACATCCTTAACTTCATCTTTCCTTGATGGTGGTGTTTGCTCGTAATCATAATCACTGCTGTCATCAACCAAATGTAATTGATGTCAGTTTGTGGATATATTTGATCAATGTATTGATTGAAAACATCTGCAACACTTTGAGGGTCCAAGTTTGTTGTATTCATTTTCCTTCACAACTACTTGTTTTGGTACAGATTTCATATTAGGTGTTGTAGCGGAGCAATTGGTTTGTTGGTAATGAAGGGGCTCCCTTTGTTTGGCGTTGTCGTTCATTTGTTGGATTCGTTGTTTAATACTTGAAAAATTTTCCATAAATAGTTTAGGCAATACCTTCAATTAAGTTGAATTTTTTTCCTTTAGGAAAAATTAATAGTTTGGGACAGTGACCAAACAACGTTCATTTAAATTTTATCCTGAATAACATCTTTAATCCCCTGATATAATGAACTATTATATTTTGTTTTGCTTTATTTAGGTTATTAGGATTGCTAAGGTGGTGTAACTCTTTAATATAAGTATTGACAGAACAATACCCATGCATGCACCTTTGATATTGAAGATAGAGCATCTATACATAGTTAGATGGTAGGAAGTGACCTCACAAATTGCTTCATCCGACTGTAGCATTAGGCATTGTCGCATCCTTCATTCAAGAGAGATTACATTACTTGGATCC